TGCTGCAACCTGTGCTGTGTGGCTGGTGCTAAAATCTCCCTAGAGGAGAGCCCACTGAAAAGCTGTGTTGATGGGAAGAGAAGACAGTTATCCTACCTGCCTTGCAAACTGTGCTGTGAAGGAATCTTTTTCTGAAGGGGCTTATCACCCTTCACTCAGTATAGCGGAAGCTCAGTTGCCATCAGCTTTCAGGTGATTAAGGCTAAATTGGACAAATTCCACTGCAAGTACTGAAATTTACCTTATTCCTTGTTAATATGAATTCCGTTCACTTGAAAAAAGGCATAGCTGGTCAGTAGAAAGAGAAAAGCATCTATTTTATTTGCGTGGCTCTGCCTCCTGCCTTCTGAATCATACAGCACCCTCACAGGCCATCACTTTCATGACAGTGGCTGAGCATAGAGAAGCAGAGAAGGGAGAAACTCCCAGAGTATACGGAGTGGGAGACTAGGTCATCATAAAGCTTTTAGGAAGAGTGATGAATGAGGAGTGCTGAGAGCAGCAAGGAGCCAATGCATAGCTAGGGCTCAGAAGAAGGCAAACAGAATGTTTTGCTGAAGCTTAGAGGGGACTGTGCAGGGTTTCTTGCAGCACAAGAAGTCCTCTCAATGCTGCTGTCCTGAAAGCAAACCTAAAAGAATGAACCTGCTCTGGCAGCACACTGTAATAGGTGAGGAATGGATCATGAGTTCTCTTACTTTTATTTTGCTTCACTCAACAGAACTAGCAACAGATTGTCAAGGTTCCCTTGTTCCAGTTGATGTTTAAGTGGAACACAGTTCTAGGCTATAAAATTTTGAGTGTGCTTTTGATACATTCAAGGTTTGTGTGGTTTCCGGGTGAGGAAGGAGGAAAGGGTTGCTACACAGAGCCAGTGACTGCAGCTTTGGTTTTAGCTTGAATACTATTTAAACAATAGTAAAGCATGGTACAGACCTTTCTGCCTTTCCAGACATCCAAATAAAGTAGATGCTTTAAAAAACAATCTGGCTAATTTACTTGAAATCTGCAGTTTTGGCTGGAATATGTTTTAACAGTTCAAATAATAACTTTCTCTCCAGCACATGAAAAATCAGTTGTTTGAAAGACAAGTGGTTCACAAGCCTTGCTTGTGAAGAATGTTTATGATTTTTCAGTCTGATTTTGACATATTACTCTACCAATATCACTGGTGATTTTTTTTCCTTCCGCTCATATAGAGATAGATTTTAGCATGTTGTATTCCATACAAGCAGTATTTTCATAGGGCAAAGTTGGATAGAAAAATGAAATATAGGTGACTGTAGCTTGTGTAAGAGGATAAGGCTGTTCAAAGGGCTGTAAATCAAAGCCCAGTCTGTAAAGTGTGATGAAATAACCTGCTGCATGAGATCCAAGAAGATGTAGCCTAGCATGGCTGGCTCTGCTGCAGACATAGTGTAATTTTCATGGGAGAAGTGAGTTTGTAGCATTCTCATTTGCACACATGCATGAAGTTCCCGCACACACGTTCTTCCTCTCTTAGGCATATGGTAGAACAGCTGGAGTTGCTCTTAACTCTTCCATCATTCTACCCTCACAGAATCATAAAATCATTTAGGTTAGAAAAGACTTTGAAGATTGTTAAGTCTAACTGTATGGGAACTGCTGAGTCACGGCCTGAACCTCTGATTAATCACCTGAGGTGAGCCTTGAGTCAGCCAGAGGAGCACAGGTGAAGGCAATTCACCTGTGCTGCCGGAAGGGGTGGAGCCAGGCTCCACCCCTCCTGGACCTATTTAAGAGCTGGCTACCAGAGGGGAAGGATCTCTTCTGGAGATCTCCTCTTTTGGTATCTTCTGGTGAGCTCAACCCAAGGGTAAGCTCTTCCACTTATTCTCTTTTGTGATCATTGTCTGTTTGCCTTACTCTCTTGATTATATTGTAATTATAACATCTTGGTTATACAAAATTATAACATCTTGGTTATACACTAACCATTCACATAACACTACAAGTCTATTGCTAAACCATATCCCTAAGCACCACATCTCAAATGCCTCCAGGGATGGTGGCTCCACCACCTCCCTGGGCAGCCCGTTCCAATGCCTGACCACCCTCTCCATAAAGAAATTCTTTCTGACCTCCAGACCAAACTTCCTTTGGCACAACTTGAAGCTATTGCCTTAGCTAAGCCTTTGAGAAAGTTTTTGAAAATGGCTACTATGCAAAATGCATTCCTAAAACTAGGCTCAGCAGCAAACTTATAAAAATGGTTAAAAGAAAAAAGAAACATAAAAAACCCACAACTATTATATTTGTGTCTCTGTTGTTGCATATAAGGCACTATAAATAAAGTACTCAGCAAGTATCCTGTCATAGAGCTGAAGAGTGTATATTAAGATGTGCTGTGAGGACTTAATTCTCTAAGGAACTTTCTTCCCACCTCTCAGAAACATTCCCAAGATTTCCAACTATACATACATGCAAACACCTGTACATGGGTCTTATACAGCTGTTTGTATCCCTGTCCTTTACTGCTACTTTGTTTACTGGAGGTTTTTCAGTGTGTTATAAGAGATAGATTAATAACACTTTGGAATTGATGCTTGTTTTCTTCTTCTGGCTATGTAATTGTAAATGGAGAATGTCCTACCTCTTGTTCTGCTTATTAACTGATGGCCAGAAGGGTTTATTTAGATTCTTTTTAATCAAGTGCTAACAACCTGAAGAGCTGCAACACCTACCTTTTGCTCCTTCTAATCTAATCCGATGGCAGACAGAACAGAATCAGTCCCTGTTTGTGCAGGAAGGTTCATGAATTTCAAGGGAGAAGGAAAATGTGTCATATCCCATGTAGGAAAACTGGAGGAAGAATAGGTCATATACTTCAAAAAGTGGGAGCTTTTGCCAGCCCAAGTGAGAGTGAGCTGAGTCCGAGTGAAGAACAAAAGCAAAGTCTTCTGGTGTGAAGTTGTAAAGCAGAAATGGGAGCTAAGGGCAAATGGTAAATGAAATGGCCATTGCTGCTTTTAAAGAAAAAAAAAAAAAAAAAGCAAAAATGAGTCTTGTGAGAAAAGAGGAAAAACTTGGGAAAGTTTCTTAAGAACTATCATTTTTGGACCCGTAGGAGGAGGGAACAGTTTCAGCCAAAGGGTTTGATAGATAGGAGATAAAGTTAGGTGTTTCATGCTCTGTTTAGCTTTTGAGATCTAAGCTATCTTTTACTGAAGTATTTCTAAACGTTCCTTGGCCACAAACATTTTTTTGTAATATTCCCAAGCTTATTGCCAGCTTTCTGACATGTTAGTTCTTACTGGAATCGGCAGTTGTTTTAAGGAAGTGATTGATTGAGGTGTTACATAGCTGGTATGACTTCCATTTCTCCAGCAGATTTTCTCATCGCAAGGCTTTAGTGAGGAGTGTAAGGAGGTTTTTTGTTCATTTATTTGTTTTTTTAATATCAAACTATGAACCTTTAAAGAAAAACTTGCCTGATGTCAAGAGTATTTTATTAAATATCCCCGGCATCCATATTCAAAGATGTTGAATGATCAGTAATGTAGCAGTGGGAAACTGAAACTTTTACCATGTTAGACATGCTTCAAGTGTTAAAGCATTTTGTCTTTTAGGTGTATATCAGATCAGCATTGGAAACAGAGATAGATTTATTAGGTAAGAGATTATTATTACAGGAAATAATTGTTAATTATTATTACAGGAAAACAGCTAGGGCTTGCTGGGCTAAGAGAAAATCTTGCCTTTAAAGTCCAGTTGTCTTAGTTTAGGAAAGAGATGTGACAAATGAAAGAAGTTGGAAAGTTTAGGAAAGAGATGTGACAAATGAAAGAAGTTGGAAAGTGGCTGAAGAGTGCTGGCAGATACACTCTTCTGAGTTCTTGTGGGACTCATTTCTTCCCAGAGGAAAGCATGCGTCATGCAGGTGGTTCTCATCTGTACCTGTGCACAGATTTCCACGTTAGCCAGGAGCCATTACTGAAGTTGCTTTGAAACCCCTTGACCCAAAAAGTTAAGGAATGCTTGGACAATCCAGTGTGGCGATTTGGCTGTAGGGTCAGGAAAGACCAGCTGAGATATCAAAGCAAACACCTGGGAGGGGCACAGTAAAACTATGCTAGCCACTTCCAAAGTGATTACTCTCTAATAATGCAGGGAGGACAGATCAACAAGTTTTGGTGTGGTTAGCATAGGAAAAGGGTCAAAAGGTAAGTCTGCAAGGTGATAGTGCAGAGAAGTACAGCAGGGTTGAAGTATGCCTTGAAAGGAGGAGGATAGTGGGAGTAAGAGCCAACAAAAGCAGTCCTGTGATGTATAAGGTGAGAAATTCACCATAGCAGAGATGAGAGAGGATTGTTGTCTCAACATCTGAGCGGTATCTGCTACAATAATCAAACGTACTCTTGAAGGCCAAGAAAAAGTTTGGTACTATAGATAAAGAAAGAGGGTTGAAATGTCAATACGAAGAACAGAGAGATGTAAAGAATCTGGAGTGATACTGAGAAGGATCAAACCAAATACAACATCTTTCCGTAGCTGAGAACCATACTGGTAGTAGTCACAGGGTCACAGAAGCACAGCAGCATTGGATAGCTGAAACTGCTCAGTAGTTCATTGTCACCAATGTCAGGTTCTGAGGAAGAGTGCATTGCTCATGGAGGCAGTCTACAGGCTCTGTGCTGGTGTCTGCTCACTAAGTACTAGCACATTCTGTGCTCAGGAGCTGCAAAATTGTTAACACAAGTTAACTATAATAATACAAATGCTAGGAAGGAGTATCTGTAATGTGGAGAATCCTACATTCCAACTAAGCTGCCTCAATTGGCCCAGTTTCAAGCAGACATTCAAGATTTTGATCTTGACTTGTTAGCAGTTGTCCCTGCGTAGTTCAAACTGAAATTACCCTCTTTGTTTTCTTTTCTAGCGCACCACGTATGCTAGTATAACACAGTAATGTTTTGCATTATAAGATTCTACTGCACCATGTAGTTCACAAGGTCTTTTGATTTTCTTGTGTTTAATAGGAGATAGCCCGTTTTCTCCGACCTGGAACTCTGCGTGCTGTCTTTGGGAAGAACAAGATTCAGAATGCTGTCCACTGCACAGATCTACCAGAAGATGGACTTCTGGAGGTAAGACTTGTTAGGTAAACATATGCTTTTATATCGTAGGAAATTTAAGGTGAAAAACAGCACTTGACACTATTTTAAGCTGTTGAAGTGTTTTATTTGTAGAGTAGCTTAGCTGGATTCCAATGATCACTGAGAAGCAAAAGCAAAAAGTTTATAAAGAGCAATAAACTCATTTAATTCAGATACTGTAAAAACTTGATCTGTGCTCTTTTCTTGAACACAAAGTATGCTAGAATACTTAGTGAAATGAAAATTGAGTCTTTTGTTTGGCTGAATGTATCTTTTGAACTGGACACCAACATCTAGAAGTGCTTCTGCAAGGACACCTTCATGGCCTCTGCTTGAATGACCACTATAACACCCAGTCTGGTATGTCCCAGCAGAGAGCTTGTGACAGGCCTGCGATGTTTCAGGCACTAAAGGTTCAAATTCTTCGCATAGGTACCAGCTTTATTGATACATGGGCATAATTATGCATATCATATGGAATTTACCATGTTTTATAGTAACTTACTAAGAGTTTGGCTTCGTATGCTTTCATTAAGTCCAATAAAATGGAAAAAAGTGAATTAAAGGAATTTGTAAAGGCAGAACAAGCTCAGTCACCTAATGCCATGCCCAAAAATGAGGTCTGGACAAGAGATGTTGAAGTAGTGTGTCAGTGTATCTTGGATGGATCTTTTTATCAATGCATGCGTTTCTTCAGTGAGTACATAGCTTCTACTGTACTTTCTGCAAGCATTTATGAGTGGTTTGCTGTCAAACTATAGCAACATGATGAAGCAGTGAGAGTTCTCCTAGCTTGGATAACTTTATATGGCCAAAAGTGCTTTCATTGAGGGAGGAAGCTAACTGCGTCATGATCTCCCAGTGTGAGGTAAAATTAGATGTGTGGGTTAAAAGTGCTGTTTGACAGGAAATTGCATCTTAACTTAAAAAATAGTATAGTGTTAATTGAAAATTCCAGCCAACATCAACAAAGTCACAGCTTTTTAAACCATTTCCAAGCTGCCACTGAAAGTTGTCAACTTTTAATTTCTGTGCAATGGGTCTGGATTTAAACAAGCAAGCAGGTATTTGTCATCACGTGCCTAAGATCTATCAGTTATTTCTTTTAAATGGCAGTAGAAAAAAAGACGTAATCCACAAGAAAGAAGAGAATCTCACCAACACTGATACAGCATTTTAGTACTTCAGCAGAATTCTCTCTTTCATATTCACTGTTGGTCTCGTGTATGCTGTTTGGTGGTGCAGAGCAACTATAACTCCATTTTGCTGATGGTTTAAATTGAGTTTACAGCTAATATAGGTTTAATTGTATACAGAATGTGGTTCTTCATGTTTCTAGTTTCTTCTATATAGTCGAGGCTACAGCAGTTGTAAAGGACATCAGTTGAGTGAATGCTTAAATTTGATTGACAAATGAGCATTATATGGAAGCCTTTTACTGTCAGAACTGTACTTTATGGTGTTTCCTCAGATCTTGTTTTTTGTGTTTTGTAAGAAATGGAGGTGCCTGAAAATGTAGGTAAGCATCTGAATTTGTTTAAGCTTGTCACAAATTATGAAAAATAAATGATCCAGTGTGCTCAAAGGTGATTCTTGGGGAAAAAGCTTTTTGTACTTAAAATCAGTCACAGAGGTCTCACTTACTTGGCAAGCAGAAGCCAGGCTTTCCCCTTGCCCATCCCCTTTAACTGTAATGGTGCTGTATGTCCTGGGCAAAATGATGCTGTGGCGTGGAGGACAACTACAGAAGAAAACTTCAGCCAAAGGCACCAGGCCAGGCTAACATTTATAGGAAATATGCTGTTTTCAATGAATGGTGGAGAATATTTTCATTCTGTAATGAATAACTGAATATTTTAATATATTGAACTGAACAGAGTGATTAGCCTCAGAGGGGGAGAACCCAGAAATAGATAAAACACTTGTAGAAGAGAATGAGCTTGGCAGTCCTACCTTGGCTCCCTGGCCAAATGTAGCAGTGGGGATTTGCTTCTTTCAGTGTAGTTTGTGTGCATTTGTTATGTCTGTGTCCTGGAAGGTATAACTGTTACTGAGATGTTAATGCTGCTGTTCTGATAAAAACTTTACAGTATCCTTGTAGGACAACTGATTAGTAGAGGGGGAGATTGGAGTAAACATACTGCTGTTACTTCATTGACTGAAATGGCAGAAAGAAATCCATCCTACTAGGTGTACAGTACAAAGATGAACAACCCTTTAAAAATCCCAAAGGAAAGCATATAATTGCTAGCATTTCTTCAGGCGGCATTGTTTTTTTGTACCAGATTACTGCTCTATTACAGGTATCATCCAGTGTAGTTCAAAACCCCAGACTACACGCAAATCATTGCACTCCTTTTTGCTGTTTTAAAAGGTAAATTTGGCAACCTGAAGTCAGGCACAAGAGCTAGGAACTTCAGAGTTTCATTTTTAACTCTGGTGCTGATTTTATGTGAGTTTGGCCAAACCCCTTGTCAAATTTTGGCATGAAACTATTTGACTCTCCTATTCTGTATGTAGATGTTCTGACTTAGTATTCCGTTTTGGAGGAGGCAAAAATAAGTGCAACTAGTTTTAGAAAGCAAATTGCAGAATCATTATTGCAAATAATGACATTAAGTTGTTAAAACCTCTTTCTTTCTCTGTCTCCTACCACATACACCTTCTATATTCTATTTTAATTTGCAGAACAGGAAATGGTGTAATTTCTCTTCTGAATCCTGTCAGGTTTTGCACCACCCCTAAACCCGATAAGTATTTTTGGAAAGACGATGCTGTGATGTAATCTTTCCAAAACTCTTGGTCAGCCGGAGAGGAGGGCCTTACCCAACTGTTGCAGCCCCAAAAGCAGACGGAGTCAGTCTGATAGACAGTGAATAATAGTGTTTGCTACATTTGTTTCAGAGCTTCTGTGCAACCTTGACCATGTTTTATGGCTGAATCACTGTTTTCCAGATGCTCCCATTTCCAGTACTGCCTCGCCTTACAGGCTGAAGGGCCTGCAGAGTGGATTTTCCTCAACTCTGAGCTTGCAGAGAGCCCTGTGGGTTTGTACAAAGAGCTAGCCAGTACACAGAGTACTTACACTACTAATGTTAATGCAGTGTTTTGGGTGTCCCTGCCACAATCCAGACTCTGTCGTGGTCATGTGTTCTGTGCACACATCCACAGGATCAGCATTGCCCATAGGAGCTTGAGGGCAAAATGGTCAGAAGGGACTGCTGCTCTTGCTGCTTTGTCGCTGGAAAGGTGAAGAGGTTGATGTGTGTATGTTAATTCTTCTGGGAACTTCTGATCTTCCAGAACAAAATGAGTATGGAAAGGGGAGATGCCTGGCTAACTCACTATCCTGTTGTGTACCTGAAGTGCATGGCATTTATTAAAGCACAATAAAGATGCGTTCCTATGTAGAAGGGAACATACCAGTGCTTTCTTGAGGACTCAGGTATCCTCAGTCCAGATACTGCATATTTTAATATTTTCCCACCACCCTATGCAGTTTTTATCAACCATGGCTGAAGATCTAGCTGAGGTTTTAAAGGTGCTTATAGTGCTGGCTGATTGCCCATAAATGGAGTGATGTCCTTTAACTGTTCAGGGAGGTGCGAGAGGTACCTGAAGATCAGATGCTTTCTGATGTTAATAGTCAGATTCTTTATGTCCTTGGTGGTTCATATACTCAGTGGTTAGTAGAAAGGGAAGGCGGTGAACTTTCTCCCCAGAATCATGATCAAGAAAGGCACATGCTTGGGGAGGAAAGGGAGCAGCACTCTCAGGAACAAGGGCTGATTAGCTAAGGAAGGGTCAGCTTACCTGCGTAGTTTTAGAACACTATATGTAATTAATGTAGTGCAGTAGTTTTCCAGTGTTTTCTGTTGGTCCTCTTTTCCATGGACCTGGAAAAAGGAACATTCACTTTTTAATCTAAAAAACAAACAAACAAACAAGCCAAACCCTAAAAATTAAACACCAGCACTTGCTCCCACTAGTTTGACCCTTAAGTCCTATCTTTGTTCTACGTTCTACTCCACGTTTTGGGCAGTGACTGAAACATATCAGAGAGTTAATGAATAACTTGCTTGGGCTCCGCAGATGAGGAATGATGCAGTGAGTCTAAAATACAACTGGCCATGTGGAAAAACCAGTGTATTTTCAGTTGTAAAGCTCTAGCAGCTAATGTTTTTATTAGTATGCTGATACAGGAGGAGTGAGCCCTGAAGCCACTTAGATGAGCACTTTGACTTACTGGGCCAGGCACTTTTTTATTGATTTCGTGTACTTGTGTGTCCTTGTATCAGTACAAAATGTATTGTCATAAGTGACAACATATAGACACAAATAGCTCAGCACAGTCCATTTTCACAGCTCTCCTTTAAATCTTCCATTTGAATGGGCAGAGGAGAGAAAGGAGGAAGTAAGGAAAAAAATCTGTGAGATGTGGAGTGTTTATGAAATATTGGCGTTTCACAGGTAATAGCTAAAACCTCAATTTCTTTATTTTTCAGGTGAACTGATAATGTTGCTTAGGATATTCATTCAGAGCGGGCGTTTGTATTTGTTTTCCATATGCAAAGCAGGTGCCAGTCTACATCTTGGCGGTTTTTTTCTGTTTTAAACAGCAGGCACTATTTCAACCATTCAGACAGTTACAGTGCTCACCTGGATTCACATTTTTTTCTGAATCTGAGCAATACACCAGAGACAGTGTTGCATCTGTTTCTTTCATGTGCATGCAGTGAAAAGGTTGCTCTGGCTTCACTCACCGTCTTGGACCTGAGAATCATTTCTGGTAAAAAATGCTGTTGAAATAGGTGTGTTGGCAAACTATCAGATCCAATGAATCAGCATTCCCTGGACAAACAAGGTTCCTTGAAATTAGTTATTCCTGGTCTGTGTTTAGTTGAAGTACTCTGGAACGTGTTGTGGCTACCGGGCTTCAAAATTGATGTGCCCCCTTACAGAATGAAAGAAAATTAAAAATCAGTCTGTGA